GCGGTCTTCTTTATATAACTAATTATTGATTATGACACAGAGTGGACCAAACGACTAACTTTCATCATGTGACAACTTGGAAACAATTATAAATATACCCTGTTGTCAAATTTACAAGTTGACTCTCCAAATTAACGTTTTTAAGTTTTTTAGCTAACAAAATTGTATCGACTCGTTCTTAAACTCTTAATAACTGTAAACTAGTTAAACTTACGAGTTTATTTACCGACTTTACCATTTTTTCATTTTTAGCTTACAAAATCGTGTTAACTCACTTTTTAAACTCGTGCTAAATTTTTAATTTGATTATGTTTAATGATTTTATATATGATTTTTATAGAAATTTTTTTGTTGAATATGATAAATTATGGACATTAATAGATATAATTTCAATTATTTAAATTTAAAATATATTTAAATGAGATTGTTCTAATTTTTATATATTAATTATTTGATTATATACTTTTAATATCAGTTTATTAATAAAAGTAAACTCTTACAAGTTTATAATCCAAATTTACATCATTATTACGAGTTTGTTTAAACTCGTGAGTTTGACAATCTTGTATATATATATATATACGGATTCAATAATATTGAGAAAAAATAATTAAGCGAAAATTTGATAACTACATAATTTTCAACTTTAATTTGATGACACACAAGAAAAGAAAGTTTGTGTTCTGTCAGATATTCCTTGTCCTAATTGGTTAGGTAATTAATCAATCAAAGAATTGTCGCTAATGGATTGATTGGGCATGATCCTCCTTATTAATGGTTTTTATTGTTTTTGCATATTTTCATTGAATTTGTTATATTGACTCTTCCAAAAGCAATCATCTTTAGGCTAATGGCTTTTTTAAGGCCAACAAACCACCACAATCTCTATTGTTGGCATTGTGGTTAGTTTTGCTTGATTTGATGCAGCATGTTTCCTCTTATTACTTTCTTTTCCTTTTCCATGATTGGATTTCTTGCTCCTGTAAGGAAGTTTAATTGAGTTTAAATTCTCTTAACCGTTTGATATTTAATGTTATGAATATATTTGAAAATCATAGGATTTAGATACAAGATAAGTTTATCCAAATAAATTTTATCACTCATACTGATATTCAACATTGACATTAGATTGAACCACCTGTTTCTGTAATCAAATCATCAACATTAATAACCACCAGTAAATAGAAAATTTATAGCAAAAATCATGTTATTTATATCTAGGTTTTACAAATAGTGGAGATTATCTCATACTATATCCGCATCGGAATAATCTTATATCAAGTTTCTTATATTCATCATGTCAAGTTTTTCAATCACACATGGTTATGTGTTTTTTTTTTTTTGGTTTCATAGGAATTTATAATTAAAAGATATTAAATAACCAATATTTAGAAAATTGGATAAATGACCATGTGTGATTGAAAAAATTGACATGGTATTAGTTTGAATTCACGATTGGAAGGCTTTTAAGCAGTTTTTTTTGGGGGGTGGGGTATAAGCACGTTTGGTGTTTTTACATATGTTTGATATCATTTTTTATCAATTTGGCTTTCGGAGCAAAATGGCTTAAAAGCATAACAATTTTTACCCAATCTAATTTTTTTTTTATAGAGCATGAAGTTACTTGATGCTTATTCACCATGGAGAGAGAAAAAATGATTAAGAATAACCTGATACATTTTTATACACAGTAAGGATTGGTATTTTGGCAATTTTATACACAAAAGCTGGCTTATTACTACCTCCTCCAATCATTAATATAAGAGTTAGTTAACTAATTTGAGTAGATTAAGAAAGTTTATAATAAATAGGTATTGTTTTTCTTAGAATACTATTGTTAATCATATGTATTAGCTAGAACTATCATTTGATAGAATATTTAACATGTGAAACTACTATAACGATTACTTTGAAAAAAATAGATAAATATGATAAACAAATTATATTAGAGTCTTATATTTAAATCCAAAGTGACAGTCAAACTAGTTTTTATATTAAAGACCAAAGATAATATCCAATAAAAGTCATACTCATTTTAATAATTTTACAAACTAAACTTGCTTATTCAATCAAAATCCAAATAACTTCTCTTTTTACAGACTAACTTGTTTTTAAAAATCAATCCAAATATAAGTTAACTTTTATTCAATTTTATTTTTCTAAAAAGCAAAATGAAAATAATTTGTTTTTTCTACCCTTAATTCAAACAGTTCCGTAGTGGTTATAATAAACTTGATGTTAGTATTACCCCCATATATATATATATATATATATAATAATACAATTTTTAGACGTTGTTCATTTATTTTACTGGGGTTTATGTGGTGCAGTCTGGTTTATTCTGCCGGTGATGTTTTGTTAATATTCTGCCACTTGTATAACAAAGTGGATTAGGAATCTCAAAATGTAACAAATCGTTCGTGACTGATGCCTGTTTCCTAAGAATCGTAGCCGCAATTCGGGGAAAAAAATTGTGAATTATTTGGGGAATAAATGATGGGAAAAGATAATGAAAACCAGAAGCAAATAAATAACCAAATGAGACTCGTACACTGTACACACAACATACGCCTTTCAAGAAAAAAAGGGGTCAGGGTGTGAGTTTTTATGACGTCATGACAATTTGAAGTCACCGTTCACAGCACGTCGGCATTCCCGTTCTGGCAAGTGGCAGCGTCTCACAAATTGGCCTTCTCTCGGTGGTCCCCCCTCTTTTTTTTTCCCCCCAAAAAACAAGGAGCCATTTGACGATAATCTCCTCATCACTTGTTATCATTGCACCAACTTATTTCCCATATCATTGTTTGCTTTGCCACCACCATCCAATAATGATGTTGTATAGGTTCCAAATAATTTAAAATTCTACTCTATTTGGACTTAAGGGCTTATTTGCATCTGTTTATTTTAAGTGTTTATGAGTATTTTTACGTAAATTGAGATAAAATTTAATTTAAATAATTATTTTATATTTCATAAATCATGATTGAAAATTTACTTATTAATCATTTTAAATAAACTCTTATTTTGTTTGGATTAATGTCCTGCATCTATAAACTCGTTTGGACTGTTTTAGAGAACTTAATTTTTTCAACAAAAAAAAAAGGCCAGAAAGGAAGAAAAAGTTATTTAAACTTTTTAAAGTGATTTTTTTTAACAAAAAGTCAGCTTATCTATAAAATTATGTGAAAGATCATTATTTGTTGAAATTGACCTTTTGAGTTGAGAAGGAAAAAAAACAGTTTTGGCATGGGTTTACCTTTTTCTGCCAATCGCTAAATAATAATAGTAGCAGTGGTAATCATAAAATGCACCGTCTAAATTAACAAACGGCGAACACATAGTGGATGGATGACAAAAGGGTAAAAGTGTGCCAGAACAATTGAGGTTGAATTAAATAAACAGAAACAGGGGACGTTTGGTTTGCGTAAGTGGCAAGGTGAGGGACCTATAAATAATAATAATAATAATATTATTATTATTAACATAATTAGTATCATTATATTAAAGAAAGTGTCGCTTGAGCCACGGTTAAAACACTCATTCTTTTCTAACTGGGAACCTCTACCACCCCACTAAATCATTCTTGCTTTGATTTCCTACTTTATTATCGTATATAGGCCTGCCTTTTACACACACACAAATCAATATGATTCCTACTTTTGATCTTAGATATCTTTATTAGCCCCATCCATTTCAAGGGACGGCTATATTCACTTCATTTCTCAACAGCACTGGACACACACACAACCATCCCTTTTTCTAATTCAAACAAGATAAAAGACAAGGACGTGACCTGGGAGCCGCCATTATAGCTTGGATCTGCCAAGTGCTGTGCGTAAATCACAATGACACGACTGTTCATCACTGATGCGGGATAACACTTGTGAATGCTGCCTCTTGTCACATAACCAGAATATACCCTGGCAACTAAATTGTTAATAATAAAAGCTTAATTAGTTATTGGAGCCATCCATCGGGAATCCCATCCACTCAGCAACAAGACGAGAAGTTCCGATTCGCTTTGAATGGAGTCCGGCACCCACTCTTGCGGCGTCGAATTCCAAATAAAAATCACGGAACGGGCTTCAGCTCCAAGGTTTTAATTTGGGCCTATCCCTCCGTTACCAAGAGATGGTCCAGCCCAATAAAATCAAGTGGGCTTAGGCCTAGCCCAGCTTTGGGACTGCGGGACGGTGGGTGAATCTGATTATCACTTCATGCCGATGTGCAAGGTTTGTAATGTTCTATGTACCCTTTTGTTAAGCATGGCTTTTGAAGTCGGTTCAGCTCGTGACATGACTTTAACTAATAAACTTCTTCACTTGGCATAACAATGTCCTGCCTCAGGTACGTTTTTTTTCAAAAAAGCCCAGTGAATTTATAAAATTCACCTCTTTTACAAGGCGCTCCTTGATATGGGACTGTTGTCATTATCTGTGGCGTCTATTTGATCCCCCTCTCTACACAAAGACCAGATCCAATATCCATATTATTAATTCAATACAACCAACAGCGCAACAAGCGGAATGGTAGTTAACAGAAGGATATGGACTGGGGCCAATCCCAGCTACTATTTGTCGAAGTAGGCTCCGCGTTATTAATACACACCCATATTGGTGAAAACACGTTAGTAGTATTTAACACGTCGTTTTTTTCTCCATCCAAGTCTCGGGATTTTGAGACTCTAATTACTTGCTTTTTATATGCCCAGCTATCCTTTGCCCAAAAACAACCACTCTTTAAACCCAGTGTTAGTTGCAGACCTGATTTTATCTCATATATCTACACACATATAAGATTTTAATTCATTTTATCTCTTATATTTAACACATTTTTTAAAATTAACTTATCTAATTTAAAACTAATATATAATTAGAGTGCCAATAATCTGATAAGTCAAGCAGTCAAAGAATTAAGCAGCCTGCTATAGTGGCTTTTTTTTTTTCGGGGTTTAAAGTGACAGGCGCTACTCGCTTGGGGTCACAGATCGAACGCCTCCCTCGCAATGACGGGAGTATCAATGCCACCTACGGACTACGAGTCCTTTGGTCTGATAAAGTTTTATATCTGTGTGTGAATCTCTTGACATTAACGACGAAAACATGGTGTCGCTCCGCTTCCCTTTCTCGTTTTCTCAGCCTTCGGGACACCCCCCAAGGTACCGCAACTCTCGCCCATGCTCTGTCGCTAAAGTTGCTGTGGTTGCCGTTGCCGCCGCTGCCGGAGCCACCGCTGCATATGCCTCCTCACAGAACCCAATCTCACAACACCCCTTTCTTCATAACGCTTTGAATTTCCTTTTCTCTTCTGCAAATTCGCTGCCTTTGTGGGGTTCTCTGAGTTTGGCTGATAGTTCGCAGCCCGTTACGGAGCCGAGGACTGGAGCGTCTTTTCCATCAGCTCTTGGCGATTCGCAGAAACTTTGCGGGGTGGGGATACGTAAGAAAAGCATTTTGGGATTGAAGAACATTGATGTCTATGCATTCGGTATGACATTCAACCTACCACACCATCGTTGGTTTAAGTGAGGGCGGCATTTTTTTCCTTGGTACCATATCTCAGATGCTGATTGCCAGAATGAGCTTTTCTTTATGATTTCTGGTTCTGTTTCTGCAATCTTAGCTGGACATTATGTCGCATACCCTATTTATCGTGCATTTGATTCTCACAGAATAGTGGTATTATTATTGCTGACTCGGAAATTCAAATTCCTTTGAATTACTGTGTGTTGGTGAGAAAATTAAAGCTAATGGCAGAGAACGTTCTTTCTCCTAAATGCTGCCTCCGTATGGCTGCACCGTGAATGACTTTTTAAGTGTTTTACATTATCTTAAACTTCTTTTTATGGAATACTCAATGCCGCTAATTCTATGCCTTCCTTGGTCCAAAATGATGCAATTGCTTTGGGTGTTCCAAAGGGGCATAATGAGGCTCTTGTTGTTTTTATGTATTTAAGAAAAGTGTTTATAATATATTTCAGGTGTTTATGCTGATGATAATGACATTAAGAAATTGCTTGCTGAGAAATACGGGAAATTTTCTGGCTCTGAATTGAAGGGAAAAAAGGACTTTATTGAAGATCTTATGGAAAATGATATATGCGTGACAGTTAGACTCCAAATAGTCTACGGTAAATTGAGCATCCGCTCTGTACGTAGTGCATTTGAAGAGTCAGTAGGAAGCAGACTGCAAAAATTTGGGGGATCAGATAATAAAGAATTGCTTCAAAGGTTAATGACTCCTTCAACTGCTGGTGTCGATTTCTATGCACTGAAAATTAGAGTCACTATGTCTCATTTGTGTAAAATTTTGTTGGTTACAGTTTACTCTCCGACTTTTTAATCATCTCTCACACATGCACAGACTAGCATGTGAGCTGGCGTGCAAATATCCTGTTATTAATTCTGTTCCTGTTTAAGGACTGCTAGATCTCTCTTTTTGCTCAAGTGCTTTTTTTATATTTGCTTCTGATAGATAAAATCACAGGAAATTCTATTCTAAATATCTGTGTAAAAGAGCAAGCGCATATAATTTTTTTCGCTTAATCTAATTTTTGTATGTTTATAGTATTACTTCATTAGCCAGCTGTGATGTAGGTTCACTTCTCAATTTAAAGATGAATACAAAATACCACGAGGATCAGTAATTCATCTCTCAAGAGATCGGGATCATGTTCTTCGAACATCAAGTAAGATATCCTTCTCCGCGCTGTGTTAAATTTTCAGATTAGGGATTCTGAACAAAGATTTAGAAGCTCCAGCAAAGAACCCATGCATCTGTTAGGTAGATGCTGATTTGAGGTGTTAATTAACTCTTTCATCAGTACTGATTTTGAGCTTTACAAGAGTTTTTTCCAGTTCCATCATATTCCCAGTTAATTACAGGAAGGTAGGGCGTGACAAACTATTTGCATTCTGGGAAAGTGTATTTGACCCTAGGCAAACTGTTTTATTTATACATACGTCTCTGTCATATCAAACTGCAACGAGAACCTCCATTTTTATGTTGCTTGTTCCTTGTAGTTGAGGGAGAGGAAGTGGGAAGCATCCAAAGTAAACTACTCTGTCGGTCAATTCTAGATTTATATATCGGGGAGGAACCATTCGATAAAAAGGCCAAAGAAGATGTTGAGCTCAAACTGGCCTCTTACCTCCAGAAATAGACTGTTAGTATCAAGAATCTACCACGTGATGTGTATGGATTTTAACCTTGTCTTTTCTTATGCGATTTTACTTACACGCATCCAGAGAGATACAAAGAGCATAGATGTATATGGGGTTTATTTCCCATCTTTAACTTCTCTATTTCATCTATTTTTCTCTCTAAATATGCTGTAGATGATCGCCGTAGCGAAGCAGAGAATCAGTGGTGTGCACTGAGCAATCTAGGAATGGTTTTCTATTGCATAATAGCTTAATGTTCTAAGATGCTGTAGCAGACATGTAATATTATGGTATTTATTTTCATTTTGCACAGGTGCAGAATATATGGTGGATGAACGTCATGTGGTGTGACCCACTGATTACTCTTTGTAATTTATGCTGTATTTCCCTTCATGTTTATTGTTCTAGAGCCTATGCTATTACCTCGACATACTCCTTTTGCTTTTATGCATGATATAAAACGCATTGATGCTATATAAGAAGCTTTTGGTGTTTTTGAGAACTAGTTTTATTACTTTATTATCCTTATTCATATGTTTGAACAATAAAAGAGCTGCTTAGTACATAATTGAGTTGGCTGTCCCTGAAAGAGTACGGTGACATACTGCCATTAATTCTAAGAGTAATGGTGATTTACATCACATCACTCTATGGAAGAGAACTTTGGCAAGATGAGATTGATGGTGCCTGCATCACAGTAAGCTGCGTAGTAATAAGCCCTTGCCACAACAAAGAATGTGTTGTTGATATTGGATTCTAAGGTATTGGGAGGATCCTCGGTTTGAAGCACCAATTCAACAAGCTTTCGCATTTCTGATTCAATTTCAGGTGTAGTTCTGCAGTTTGTTCCCAAGTGGCTGCTTCCACCATCATGAGCCTGGAAGCGGCAAAAAAAATTAAAATATACAAGTGTCATTTGGCACCAGGAAAAAAAAAAAAAGAATCAAAATTTGTTTAATGTTCTTGTGTCTGTTCTTTGCCACTGACCTTGTTGGACTGGTAATGACGGAGGCGGTTGCAAACAGAATTGGTGAGTTCCATCAATGTTTGATAGTGAGGATTGAAGCGGAGCTCTTCTAAGCGACGGCCAGCACTCAGATTCATCACTTGCACCATTAGCTCCGCTTCATCCTGGGATCCGTTCCCTTCCCTTTCCCAGCTTGACATCCATCTTTGCCACTTTTTTCATGTTTAAAAAAAAAACAAAGAAATAAAAGGAAATCAATAAAATAGTGGAACGTAACACTGCTGAATTCAGGGTTTAATTTATAGTAATAAGGAATACTCACGGCTTGACGCAAATCGTGGACGACTTCATGACCACAAGACTCGGACATCTGCGAACCGAGGCTGTCAATGGTCCCCAGCAAAACTTCCACTAGCCTTTCTTCTGCCTTTTTCTCCTTTGATTCCCTGCAAACCCGAAGATGAGCGTCATCCACGGCTAAGAAACATATACATAATTGGTCGAAACAAGAAGCAAGGATCCACCAACACAAAATGACTTGTGTGGTTGGAATTAATTGAAATGTTAGTTTGTACATAGGCAGTTAGAGATATAAACCTGAGTATTGAAGAATCTTGTCCATTAATGCCGAGATTGAATCTGTGCACAAAGGCTCTCCTTGTTTCTTCATTCTTAAGGAAGGACGAGATTGTCTCAGCCAAAACCGCTGTTTTAGCCCATGCAAGTCGCTCCTGACATCTCTTAGGCTCAAACGTGCTGGCTGCGGTGACGAAGTAAGCAAAGAGAAGAACTTCTCTGCTTAATCCAAACTCCTCCAGTCCATATTCCGAATACCACCTAATTCATATATATGATTGCCGAAAGAGTTAAAGCTCAATGACTGTTGATTACTGTGAAGCATATATAAATTGAAACATACTTTGCTTCATTTTACATACCCTTGGATTTCGTCCCATTCTGTAACATGCAAAGCCTGACAATTGTTGTAATCTAATTTTGCAAGTTCAAGATAAACCTCATTGTTCACGTACGGCATCCTGTCGAAATTAAGAGAATTACTAGATTTAGATGCGACTTTCTTCATCATGAAAAGGATATAAGCTAAGGATATGGTTCTCGATAATTCCAAAAGGTATGAGTATAACAAAACCTATATGAAAACAAGAGTACCTGTAAAGGGACTTGCCAATCCAGGCATCATTTTCACCGCCATACTGATCAATGTAGAATCTTGTTTCCAATCTGGGCAAGCTTGCATACCACGGGATGTCCAACGCATAACCCACCTGCAGGCACAGTCTCTTGTTAGTTTCCTGCGTATCTTTTCCTCCATGAATTTAACTAATTCTAATTTCATGATATGATTTATACAGTGAACCAACAGAATGACATAATTTAAGATACAAACCTCGCCAGGTAAATCCTTCATTATGATCCATTTATCAAGGAGCTGATTCTCAGCACGTTTCTGAGTTAAATAATTAGCTGAGAATTGCATGGCATCCTCAAGTATCTTCTCCCCTGGAAACAGCACCTGAGAAGCTCTGTATAGATTGAACATTCCTGTCACGGCTGTTGTTGACTGCCCGGCGAAGCAAACGAATTCTCCATTTTTCTCAAAATTCTTGAACACATCTATCAAATTAATTAAAACGAACGATGATATTAGAAGAAGATGATATACGAGTACTCTTTACTTTCTGGATTGCATACGTGCAAATAGTGGTTGAATTGAACGTACTGGCTGAAACTTGGAGGCCATGCAACCTCAGTTGTCTGAATCCCATAGCAGTATCATCAATGTCGCGGACCTCTGAATTTCGTGCCCAGCAAATGCCCATCTCATCCCAGTGCCTGGAATTTAAGTTACAGCCATATATAATTGTCACTTTGATTAGAAACATAAGAACCAGCCGGTTATGAGACCTTTGTTATATACCTATAAACGTAGTTTATAGAGTCCTTGATTTCTTCCTGGAAATATCTGGAAATCCCAAGGCGTTGCAGCCGATCAACCACCCAAATGTGCTCGAACAAATCAACTGGATACACATTGGGAACTGATAAAAAGAAGTTAAGAAAATATAGTTAGTTAGTAGATGGTTACTAGTATTTTCTAAAAAGCCAATAGAACTAGAAAGTGAAATACCTCCCCCATCGAACCTCTTGATTATTCTGTCCAAGTATCTGAGAGAAGCTTCATTCTTGGTGTGCATGAGGGCATAAGCAGTAGAAGATGGGGAGAACAAGAATGAGCCATCTTGGGATTGGAGTTTCAGAAGCTGGTCCCACTCCAAATTTGGCATTCCTTCCAAACTGTGGAGCAGCGTTGTGGGCACTGTGTGCATCACATTCCTCGGTATTCTTCCCCCACAATCACACAAACACAAGTTAAAACACTAACATAATATGTACTACCTCTAATTTTTAATATAAGAGCTAATTTTACTTTTAACTTGATCCTAAATATAATATTATATTCATCCATTTTTTCTAAAGTAGTTCTAATAATAATAACACATATTAAAGATTCTTTCAAATCGTAGTTCTAACTAATACAGATGACTAATAATAGTATTTTAAGAAAAACAACACTTATTTATTATAAATAACTACTACGTCCGGTCTTTAATATAAGTGCTTGTTTGACTTTTATTTTAATCCTAAATATAAGGCCCCAATCTCCTTTGTCTTTCATACTTATTCATTTTTTTTCAAAAATAGTCCTTGCAATAATGATAGTTTTAACCAATACACTTGATTAGTAAATATACTTTAGAAAAGATAATTTTTATTTATTACAAATAACTAACTTAATTAGTTTTTTTAATTTACTTAAATCAGTCAACTAGTTCTTATATTAAGAATCAGAAGTAATAACTTAACAAATTTTTTAATTTAATCAAATTAGTTAACCTAACTCTTATATTAAACACAGGGAAATAGTATATGCCAGAGCTTTACGTAAATTAAAGTACTCTTATAGCATATGAACGAAGCTAGTTAGCTATGGTGAAGAATGAATCTTTACTTTTTGAGCTTTAGGTCTCTCATTTCGAAGATGCGTTTCAAGTAAGGAGAGTCAGAAACGCTGGGTACTTCAATGTTCAAACTTCGAGCTATATCGAGAAGTGAAGGAAAAGCAACTTCAAAGCCGATTAGCACATGCACAGCATTCTCATCCTCAAGCTTGCTCAGATTTGCATTGAAAAATTCCATTCCTACACACGCAAGTAATAGTACGTACAAGATTAATTAGAATGAACATGATGGAGGAAATCACGAAACAAACTAAGGTCTTGTTCATTATTGAACATGATGATCAAGAATCACCTTTGTGGCACTTGTCGGGATGAAGATTCCAAGAAGTCAACGCGACAACACAAGCCAGTGTGCTGAGGATTCTGTCATGGGCAGAGAACAGAAGAGCATCGCCCCATGAACCATCAGGAAGCTGATTGTTGGCAATCCATTCAAGAGCTGAAGGGAACTGAGGGGAATCAGATCCATCGTTAGCTTTGACGAGAGCAACCCACGCTGTGTCATAAGCTGAGATGCTTATCTCTCCATCTTCCATGGAGCTCATCATCATCCTCACAGCATCTATTCTCTTCCTAATCTCATTTTCTTCAGCAATCTTTCACACACATATATATTATGGCCACAAAATCAGCTAATAAGTTTATCCTTCATGCTCAAATATACACACACACACACACACACACACACACACATATCTGCGTTACTTATTTTGTGCAGTTTAAAATTGAGGGGCGAGAAAAGAGTTAACCTCATGAGGAGGAGATTCCTTATCATCCCCATTCTCCCAACTGTCAACGCTTTCTGCAAATACAATAGAGGGGGGGAAAAAAAAATTTGCGTGAGCAATCAGACAAGAAATAAAAGAGGAAGAGTTGAGTAATAAGTGTTTGAGTTACATTTTATGTTGAGTACACATCTTTAACCTCCAAACTGTATTTTAAAAGAACTGAACATGTTTGTAGGAAAAACTTTCTTTTCTTTGAAAGGCACACAAATTATTTTAAAATATAAGGGTTAATATAATCTTTAGTCCATCAAATTTGTCCTTATTTAGGTTTTAATTCTTCAAATTTCAAACAATAAGGTTTGATCTTTCCAGAGACAAAATGGTCCATGTTTTTATTAAATTATAGGGATCAATATTTTAAATAAAGAGAAATTTGAAGGACCAAAACCTATTATTTGAAATTTAAGGGACCAAAACTAAAATCAAAGCAAACTTAAAGGACAAAAATTATATTAACTCAAAATATAATATTATTCTTTAAAAATCAAGTCAGATTATCAAATCATCCTAAAAATAATGTTGATTTCTGTTACAAATTTAGAAAATATATTTTTATTTTGTTATTTCAATGTGATTTATTGGAAAACTTTATTGATTACTGCGACGATGGCTTTTTTATTATTTGATAAAAATATTTCTGAATGATTAATATAAAAATAAAATCGTTAGACATCAGAGTAGAACAAATAGAAAAAGCGAATGAATGGGAATTTATTCAGAGCAATGATAATAGAGAGGGGGAATAGAATAAAGTTGGTAATTAATAG